TGATAGGTTTTATTTTTTATATCGAAAAAAGGAACTCTCCTGAATCGATTAAGCCCAGGAAAAAGATAATTCACCGTCCCGTTCTCAAGATATTTAATTTTAAAATTAGGTGATTTTAATGATTTTAACATTGGTCTAATAGGAAAAGAGGTTATTTTCCTATGAATAACACGAGTTTCCGAAAAATCTTTTGCCAAAAATGTCTGAATAATATAATATATCGATGGAAAGAGGACTATGAGGAAGCTTATATTATAGTTGAAGGTGAACACGATCCACCGTGCAGTTTTTTTTAATTAATAATTAAAGTTGAAAACTAATTAAGCGATGCGTTAATACACTCTTTATTTAATCTATTTCAGGCAAAATATTATTCTACAACGTAAAAATTATTTATTAAATAATCTCTTTATGTCGGTTACGAAGCTTTATTGCGATGCGTTATTCTATTTTTTTATAATCATAAAAATAAAAAAATTATAAACATTGTTTTGACTTCGGCCTTTCATCCACGCAACGAAATATGTAAAATAACACATTATCTACTTGTAGAGTCGATTGTCTTGCATCTAGCATAGTGGATTGTCGATACAGAGATTTATATCTTTTTAATAAATAATAAAATATACATATATCAGACATTTACGAAATGGCAATTGTTCCTTCTCCTCCCAGATAGCACAGTTGATCTTTATGAATTCATAAAGATCAGATTCAGATCTTTTTGAATTCATAAAGATCAGCTGTGCTATCTGGGCTGGCTGCATTCCGATATTCACGTCAGTACTGCAAATCTATATTTTATGTCACGTATACTATAGATTTTCAGTACTGAAAGTTGCTGACGGTGAATATCGGAATGCAGCCTTTATCGATATTTCTGGAATCTCTGACGTCACACGTATGCCACGTGGCTAGTGATGCTACGTGCTAGCGTGCCACGCCGCCACGTGTAACCGCGTGCACAGTCGACGCGTCGACGCGATCGCAGAGATCGAGTCCGAGTTCCGAGTGGCTGTAGTGCCGTAGCAGTACTTATAATTTTCCGCCGTTCTTTACGTAAGTATCGTTTTGAGGAATGTGTATTCCAACGAGATTATTAACGTTACCGATTAATAACAGCATATATAGTAGTAAGATTAACAAAATTCAATAATTATTTCTATATAAAAATACGTTTTGGCAAAAGCCTATCGCAAGTTAGGAATATAGGTTAGGTTACCAGCAAAAAACACGTTCACAGAGCTTGCGATTCGAAAAGCCATCCAGATTTTATCTAACGACTACGCGTATGTTGCTTATTTATTGCAGGCTGAAGCCTCACGCAGATATCAGAGCTAAGCTGGTAGCGGCCTGAAAAAGTTTCGTGCTCAAGTACTACCGTATCACGAAGCAGGCAGTTCTGGATGTACGCGAAGTACACGCGAATCCTCTATTTGATAACCCCAGCATAAACAGTATCCTTTCTATTCATCGCATGGAATGATAATTATTTCAACAATTTTGTCATATTTTACTTGACACTCATTTCCTGTGGGTGAAACCTGTGAAATCACAACATTCCAAACACTATATTTGTCCTTTACACTAAAAAAGATTTTGATATACAACGAGGCTGTGTATAAGCAGAAGTCATGGAATCAGAAGCGAAAAATCAAATTATGTATTGTGACGCGTTCTTCTACGCGACCATGTGCCACGTTTGCAAACGGTTTGGCGACGGCGTTCAATTGAAGAGATGCAGTTGCTGCAAGATGATCGCCTATTGCGGTAAGGAACATCAGAGGCAGCATTGGCAACAGCACAAACCTATGTGCAAAGCCACACGGGACGTGCACCTAGAGTTCGGCAAGAATCTTTCCCGTGCAACTACAGAGGAGTGGGTCTACGAGAAGCTGGCCATCGCGCGGATAGTGTCGTCCAGGCTGAAACGTCGTCTGATTGTGGATGAGATGCAAATGCTCTGTTTTCAAAGGGTGTGCTTAGTTTGCTACGAACTGAAGAGCAAGTTGTTGGAGACTTGTCAGAAGTGTGCTGCCAGCTTTTGTCAAAATCACAAATACAGTACTGAGCACAGGAACATCTGCGCTCAACTGGAACTATGTCTTCGCATAGATTTCTTTTCTATAAAAGAAGGAACCAATCCTCCGGACCTGCAGCCTTACTTGCAACATTTCGTGCAAGAGTACTCGCACGTTTCTTGCAAGAATATATTTCGGAACATGAAGGACTTTATCAAAGTTTTTAGGAATATTCGTACTGACTCGGAGATGTCGAGCAACCTCCCGGCAAATTTAAACTCAGAATATCTGACACCTCCCTTAACGTTGTTTCATGCTATGCAATTATTAAATTATGTCCCAAAAGGTAACGATTTAGTCGTTCATATTCTAGGTGCGAGAAAGAGCGAAGAAATCACCTTGATTGGGTGGGAAATTTTTCCGCGTTTAATAGGAGCCAAGGTGTCAATTATATTGATAGGACCGGAATTACCATGTCAATCAACGCTGTCACATCATTGCGATAACTGTATGTCACGGGAGAAAAAATGTTTGACGTTTGAGTTACACGATGGGTTATACGAGGACTATGTACGCAGTTCGTCATTCGTAAAACCGGACTTGGTTATAGGATTTAATATGGGTGTTCGCAACCATGAACCTCCAGTTGAGTCCAGTAAGAAAACGTGGACGCCGTCCATTGAGTTGATAGCGAAAGAAAATTGTCCGTTTATCTTGACGTCTTCCACGCTATATTCATTTAAAAAAGAGACAGACATAATAAAAACAATCCTGGATAAAGAGGTAAACCATATATATAGTGGAAAGAATCCATTCGCCAGTTTAATCCCATACAGAGCTATCGGCGGGCTGGAGTACGTATCTTATATGAATCAATATATAATTATCTACAGAAGTCTGTTCATAACTGATATGCGTAATTTAAGCGACCGATACAAACTAATGTCTGTGTTTGATGACGAAGAAAACATTGCGCGTTAAATGACACGCGAATTAACTGAACTTAACGTTAAATAAATGTAACGGAAAGAACGCGGGTAAGAACATGTATGTACCACATCTGCGAATCGCGACGTGTCTTCACGAACCAAACTCCAAAAGACTGATAGCCGACACGCCGGAATGTCCTGCTTATATTTATATAGTAATTAAAAAATCCTAAATGACTATTTTCTAATTGTAGAGTCGATAATTGTCTTACATCAGTCGAGCATAATGGATTATACGATTATAGATATAACGGGACACATGGATGCGGTAACGTAGATTGTAAAATATTAATATGAATGGTATGACTGCACTGCAAATTCAAGTATGTTTAACTGAAGCTCCCCTCTTACACATTTATTGCCATTTTAAATTACGTCATTTAACACGGTTGAATGTATTAAATTAACTTTTAATTTCAGTTAATTACAATTAACTTTTAATTTAATTCTACCTTTTTTTTTTTAACACGCAACAAAATAAAACGAGCTCTAGTAAAACGTGTCATTTTTAGACGTTTGTGCGTGTAGAAATAGCACACTTGGATTTACAATGTGTTCAATTTCAATTTTGTTTGTAATGAAGACGAGTCTTTTTAGTAATTGTTTTGTAATGAAATTTATACTTTGTAATAAAATATGTCAAGCATTTACGAAATGGCAATTATTTATTTCTTTATCGATATTCCTAACAATTCTCATATCACAACTGCGACAGTCGACGACCAAAACAATAACAGAGATCAAGTGGCCGTGGCAATCGTGGCATTCTAGCTCTAGCAGTACAGTTTACCACCGATCTTTCTTTACGTGAGTATCGTTTTGAGTATTCCAACGAGGTTAAGAATTTTCCAAGATTTTTTAAAATCTTAAGTTTAAAATAAAATAAAATAAAAATTTATAAAAAATATTGGAATATAATTAAAAACAAAATGACATTTTAATTTGGAAATTGAAATTTTATTATTTCTTTCATTAACATTATGAGACTAGTCATTCT